ACCCCCCACCCACCCACCCACCAGCCCAACCCACGCCTGTTCGACCTCGACCCGCACGTCCACCAGCCCGGTCCACCCTCGCCGCTCATGCACTGTCCCCACACACACACACCACTCCCACACTACACACACACACACACACACGCACACGCTACCCTCTAGCTCCACCCTCCTCACTCCTCCTCTCCACTCCCTCCATCCCCTCCCCTTCGCCGCATTGCCTCCGTTCCAAAGTACGCCCACCAACCCTCACCTCCCCCCTCCTCCTCCCTGCCCCACCTTTAACTCACAAATCTACAGTGGCCGACCGCATCGACACCAACCGCGGGACGATCGCCGACTCGCTGGAGCGTGACATCGACCAGGCCACGTTCTGGAGGCTGACGCTCTACCTTGGCCTGCCATGCGTCCTCTTTACCGTCCTGGCTTGGCTCTTCCAGCACTGGGTCGTCCACTACCGGCCCAACAGGGCGAAGGCTACCCTCGCCAAGCTCTGGGCCTCGCGTGGATGGGGTAGCCGCAGCTTTACCGTGGGCAAGCACGTCATGACCTTTGCCACCGTTGCCATCGTCTCGTGGCCCTTTGCCTACCTCCTCGCCTGGGCTGCCGCCGTCTCGGATCGCGTCGTCAACGTCCTTGGCGTCGCCATCCTACTCGGCGGTACCTACCTGCTCTTCACCGGCTTTGCGCTCTTCAACTGGGCGGCAACCGCGTGGCGGCTCACCATCTGGCCGGTCCTCTCTTTCATGACCATCTCTTGCACCTTTGTCGTCTTTATGGTCTACATCGCCTTTACCACCGAGCCGTACACCTTTATCGGCGTGACCCAGGTCTGGCTCTCGCTCAACTCGTACCCGCTCATTGTCGCTGGCTTTATCGAGTACACTGGCTCGATCTTTGGCGACTTTCGGGCACTTGCCGCCACCCACTACTCGCGCTCGCTGCGCCTCTTCTCGTGGTCGGGCAACAAGCGGTCGTGGGCCTCGTTCATCCTCACCATCGTCTCGTACCACGCGCTCGTCGGCTACATCGTCACCGCCTGGCGTCTCGAGCACGACGGCCAGTGCTCGGCTGACGAGTCGTGCTCGCAGTTTACCCGCATCGCCGTCGCAAACTCGCTCCTCCTCGTCGTTCTCGACGCCGTCCTCGTCATGTACAACCTCTCGCGCAAGTCCAAGCTCCCGGCCTCGGTCAACGCTCTCTTTCTCATCGCCTCGCGCTCGTCCATGATCTTCTACGGTGAGTCTTACTGGTTCTTTGCGCACGCCACTACCTACGCTGTCTCGGCCACCGCCCTCGGCATCCATATCGTCAACAAGAAGCTCCCGGTCCCGGTCTCGATGCTCCACTCCAAGGCCGCCCTCATCAAGTCGCTCGTCGGCGCCTCGCCCAAGACCTCCGCCTCGGGCTCGGCCATCTCGGCCTCGGCCACCTCGGTCTCGGCGGCTGTCTCCGACTCGGGTGACATGTTCCTGGAGCGGACTCGCATCGTTCAGTTGTTCCCCTGGCTCCGCTCCAAGACCCTTGCCTTTGTCGTCCTTGTCGCCGCCTTTGGCCTCGACATCGCCATTGTCGCCGGTGCCGACCTCGCCGAAAAAGTCACCGTCCGTGGCGTCTCGTTTGAGCAGTGGATCGTCGGCTTTGCCGCCCTCCTCCTCTCATTTGTCCTTCCGGCCCTCTGGGCCGTCTACCGCGTCTACCAGCGCTCGGCATACCGGGTCTCGTGGCAGCTTGCCGCTGCAAGCCTCCTTGTGGAGGCCGTATCGGTCGGCGCTGGCCTTCTCTTCTACACTGCCACCGAGTCGGTAGTCACGCTTTGCGTCGCCATCTTTGCGCCGCCCTACTTTGTGGCTGGCCTAATCGCCTTTTTCGACTGGCCGACAAACCCCATGTACGCGCACTACCACAAGGCCAACGAGTCGCACTGGGTCTTTGCCGCTGCCGCTTCCTCCATGCTGGCTATCCTCCTCGCCGCCACTTTTGTCATCGCCAGCGTCAACTCACCGGCATGGCACGGATTCGTTGTCACCGGCATCACTGCCATCGTCACCCTCACCGCCATTGCGCTCTACCGCTTCTACCACACACTCCGCGCCTGGGACCCGGTTGTCGTCACTTCTCTGGTGGTCATCCTTGTTATCCTCTGGGGCGCCGGTGCCGCGCTCTGGGACTCGGAGCTCGACGCGGAGATCAACAAGAGCTCGTTTGGCCTCATCCTCGGCGGCGTCATGTATCCGACTCTCATCGCGCTAGCCATGGCCCTCATCCAGTGGCGCGATCGCGGCTACCGCGTCTCGCTCTTCCTCGGCCTCGCGCTCGTCCTCACAGCTGTCCTTTTCATCGTCTTTGCCGCCCTCCTCACCGCCATCGTCTCGGTCGTCGCCGGCACCATCGTCGCCGCCGTTGTCCTCTTCGGCTGCGCCGGTATCGCCACAGCGCTCTACTGGGCGCACAACGACTTTTTCCTGCCGCGCCTCTTCCGCATCGGTGGTCTTGCCCTCCTTGTCGTCTGCGCTGCCGTCGGTGTCATCATCGGCTTTGTCGCCGCGCCGTTTGTCGGCTTCTCCATTGGCTGGGCCTGCCTCTTTGTCTTTACCGCCTCGCGCGCCCTCCAACGCATCTCGACCGTCTACTGGTCATCGTCATCATCGCCCATTTTCTACGGCCGCTTCCTCTTCCCGGTCTTCCAGTATTCCAAGACCCGCAAGGTCATGGTCTCGGTGACATCGACAGTCCTCCTTGTCTACGCCGCCCTTCTCACCGTGGTCGCCTGGGGCGTGGTTGCCACGCTCTTCCTCAACCCGCCGTGGGTCGGCCTCGTCACCTCCTCGCTCACGCTCTCAATCATGCTCGCGTACACGCTGTACCTGCTCAACACTCGGGCATCGTCGTTCCTCTCTGCCGCCCGCGCCACGCCGTCAGCCGCCGTCGAGACGCTCCGGGCTTCGGCTGCCACCCAGTACCTCCAGTCGGTCCGCCCGTCGTCGACCATCCTCTCGGACGTCTTCCACGCGGCACGGACCGCCAAGACGGTCGACGAGTACCTCGAGCTCAACAAGCTTGACGCAGAGCTCAACGCGAGCTGGACTGCCGAGCAAAAGTTTGCCGCCGCCCTCTGCATGCTCATCGGCGACCACCGCGCGCAAGCTGTCCGCGACGAGATGGCCGCCATCGAGTGGACCCTCCGCGACATGAAGTATCCTGGTGAGGCCGCCGAGACCTACGCCGACCTCACCGACCGCGACATTGCCCGCTGGAGCGAGGCTGACATCGAGACCTTTGTCTCGGCGTACTACGCACAGATGGCCCGCCGCAACTCTCGTGAGCGCGCCCGCCGCAAGGCACTCCAGCAGGACACCGCTGGCGCCGCCCGCCGCAAGCAGGCTCAAGGTCGGTACAAGGCCCCGATCCCGGTCTCGGTCGCCGATGCCGGCGACAACGCTGGCGTCGAAGCTGGTGGCGTTTATGGGGCGGAAAAGGCCAAGTCGGTGTTTGCCGCTGCCAAGGCCAAGCTCGCTGGTGCGCTGGGCTCGGGCTCAAGCTCGGGCTCGGGCTCGTACACCGAAGAGGAAGAGTACTCGGCAGTCGAGGGCAGCTACAAGCTCTCAGCCCGCTACAATGCCTCGTCGTACGGATCTGATGTCGAGGTGTGGGAGGAGGAAGAGGGCTCGTCGTACTCGGCGTCGTACTCGATGTCGATGCTGTCGATCTCGGCCAACGACAGGATGGCAGAGCTTGCCGGCAACATGCCGGTCATTGGCGGTGCCACGCTCGAGGGCCGCATGGGCGCGGATGAGGCCGATCTCTTTGGCCTCGCCCACAACGAGGAACTGTCGGCCGAGGACTTTGGCGAGCCGGGCCTGGTCGACCACCGCTCAAACGTGGTCCAAGCTTCAGCAGCGACTAAGAACCGGGCCAAGGCCAAGGCGTTCCGCAGCAGCAACGTGACAGCGCTCAAGACCCCGCTCCGGCCGCTCACCTCGCGCCGGTACAAGGAGGCGCTCAAGGCCGCGTCCGAGTACTCGTCGGGCTGGGACGACTCGGACATTTCCGAGTCGTCGTGGTCGCGTCTGGGCGCCGACCTGTTCAAGGGCGGCGCCGACGCCGGTGACATTGCGCAGGGCGCGCTCGGCGACTGCTGGTTCCTGGCCTCGATTGCCGCCGCGGCTGCGCACCAGAGCGGCGGCATCATTCCCACCACCTTTGGCAAGTCGAACCCGTCCGGTGAGCGTGGGGTGTACGCAGCGCGGTTTTACAAGGATGGCGTGTGGCGTGAAGTCCTTGTCAACGACAAGGTGCCCAGGGCCGGCGGCGAGCCGCTGTTTGCGCGGTCGACAGACCCCAACGAAGCATGGGTCTCGGTCATCGAGAAGGCGTACGCCAAGCTCCACGGCGGGTACCAGGCGCTCGAGGGTGGGTTCATCCACGAGGGTCTCGCCGACCTCACTGGCGGCGTGCCGTCGGCATACTGGTTCTCGGTCCCCTCGGTCCAGCAAAAGGTGGCGTCGGGTGAGCTCTTCCAGGACCTCCTCCGCTGGAACTCGGAGGGCCATCTGCTCGGTGCAGGCTCGCAGGCCGGAACCGACACCCAGGTCATCGACGGCATTGTGCAGGGCCATGCATACTCGATCCTGGACGTCGCCGAGGTCGACGGCTTTTCGCTGCTCAAGCTCCGCAACCCGTGGGCCAAAACCGAGTGGGAAGGCCCGTGGTCTGACGCCGACACCAAGAACTGGACTCCGCGCCGCAAGGCCAAGGTCGGCTTTGTGGCCGGTGACGACGGCGAGTTCTGGATGGCCTTTGAGGACTTCCGCAAGCAGTTCTCGTCGCTCTTTGTCTGCCGCCTCTTCAATGGACCCGAGTGGCACCGCTACCGTGCCGCCGGTGCGTGGTCGGGCAAGGACGAGAACCACACCGTGTCATACTCGGTCACGTTCTCGCGCCCGACTCACGCATGCGTCATCCTCTCGCAGTACGATACCCGCGGCTCTGAGACCGAGCCCATCGCCATGCTCACCACCGTCTCCGACTCGTCCGGCAACATTGTGTACCCCAACGCCGACTCGAACTTCTCCTACGACCGCGACGTCGTCATCGACAAGGAGTTTGACGCCGGCACCTACACCATTGCTGCACGCGCCTATCCCGACCATCTGGACGCTGCTGCCGCCCCGGTCAAGTTCTTTGTCACGCTCCTCGCCCACTCGTACCCGGCCAAGGTCGACAAACCGTTTGTGACCGTCGAGACCGGCAACAACCTCGTGGCAGTCGCCACTGCGCCCGCGCCTGCACCCGCCGTTGCCGTAGCCTCGAGCGTCAGCAGCGCGTCGGGCGACCATGATTTGCTCGGCTCAGACGACTCGGACGCTGTCGGCGTTGCGCCCGCGCCCAAGGCTGATCCCGCTGACGACGGTGGCGACGAGACAACAGACGCTTACACCTTTGTGACTGCCTCGGGCACCGACAGCGGTGATGATTCGGCCGAAGCCGAGGCCGAGGCCGAAGCCGAAGCCGAAGCGAAGGGCTCGAGCTCTGTCTCGGAATCGTCCTCGGGTTCGGCCTCGGGTTCGGCCTCGGGTTCGGCCTCGGGTTCGGCCTCGGGTTCGGCCTCGGGTTCGGCCTCGGGTTCGGCCTCGGGTTCGGCCTCGGGTTCGGCCTCGGGTTCGGCCTCGGGTTCGGCCTCGGGTTCGGCCTCGGGTTCGGCTTCAGGTTCAGCCTCGGCCTCGGCCTCGGGCTCAGCCTCGGGTTCGGCCTCGGGTTCGGCCTCGGGTTCGGCCTCGGGTTCGGCCTCGGGTTCAGCCTCGGGTTCGGCCTCGGGCTCGGGCTCAGCCTCGGGCTCATCGTATTCCTCAACATCGTAACAAGCCCAGCACTCTCTTTTTACTCATCTTGGTGGCGTCAGCAGCCGCAGCCCTTGTTCTTGTACTCGATGTCAAGCTTGACGGGAGCAAAGGTGTCACCGTCGTTGTGCGACGAGAGGCGGTGCGCCTTGACCGACATCCGCATAAAGGCCTCGGTCACGCCCACATCGTCCTTGGCCGATGTCTCAAAATGGTCCTCGGCGTCGATGCCCACGCTCGCCATCCAGTCGAGCGCGTCGGCAACGGCCACCTGCCGCTCGGCCGGATCAAAGTCGGTCTTGTTGCCCACAATAACAAACGGAAAGTCGCGCGCTTCGGCCGAGTTGGCGTCAGAGAACCGATTCCGCAGGAACTCATCGCGCCAAAGAGTCAGTCGCTCCAACGTCGACTTGATGTTAACGTCGTAGACCAGGAGGCAGCAGTCTGCACCACGATAGTATGCCGAAGCCAACGACTGGAACCGCTCCTGTCCGGCAGTATCCCACAGCTGCACCGTCACCTGAGCATCATCCACGATCACCTCCTTGGACATAAAGTCGGCGCCTATCACCATGCCCCGTCCCATTCACGTCCCATTCCGGTCAGAAGCCGTGCACCACCACCACCGCAGACCACACACGCCAGCACACACACGCCAGCACACACCGCAAGCACACACGCGCAAGCACATACACATACACATACACATACACGTACACACATGCGTAAGTCCTCCGCCCCCACCTCCCCCCCCCCCCCCCCCCATTCCCTCCTCCTCCTCCTCCTTCCCCACGTACCAATGGTGGCCTTGTAATGGGTGGAGAACGTCCGGTTGACGTAACGATGCAGAAGGGCAGTCTTGCCCACGCCCGAGTCACCCAGCACCACAGCCTTCAGCAGCTGCTTCCGCCGCAGTCCGCCCGATGAAGACATCATCCTTTGCACTCGCTGCAGTCGGGTACTGTACCGTGCCGTACCTCGTCTGCCGTCTCACTTCCGCACGTGCCTGCCAGGCCGGTGTCGCTGCCTGCAGGCACCCGCATGGAAGCCGACGTCGATCGCCGCGCAGGCACACACAACACGCACTGACCTCGCTACTATTTACTGCACGACTTAGAGGCTTTCGACAAGTGCACGGAGGGCATTGAGCTCGGTGGCTAGGGCATCGATCTTGGCAACGACGGCGGCCTTGGCCGAGGCGTCGGCGCCTGCTGGCGCGGGCGGGGCGAGGCCAGGCACAACCGACGCAATGTGGACCAGGATGTTGTGGCGCATCTGGAACATCTCGCGCTTGGACTCGGAGACATCTGGCGACTGGATGAGCTGCCCGATGCGGGCCATCTGCTTGGTCACAAACTCGTCGCCGTTCTTGATCATGCCCCGGAGAACAGTGGCGTAGAACTCGGCGGCGCCGGGCTCGCCGCCCTTGATCCGCGATGCCAACTTCTCCACCGCCGCGTTCTTGGCAGCCTCGTCGCTGGCCTTGGCGAACGACTTGACGTAGCGTGCGGCCGAGGCAAGGACGCCAAAGGTGGTGTCAACAGCCGGCGCAGCCTCGCCAAACACCCGCTTGTGGCCGGTCTTCTTGTTGATAAACTCGGTGAGCGCCTCGCCCGAGCGCCCGCCAGCGTACTTTTCGCCATCGCTTCCTGCGCCCTTACCATAGAACATCATGGTGGGGTAGCCCGAGACGCCAGCCTTGCGCGCGGCACCCGAATGAACGGTGGCGTCGAGCTTGGCGATGACCACGTCCTTCACCCCGGCAAAGGTCGTGCCCAGTTTGGCGTACGTCGGTGCCAGGTTCTTGCAATGGCCGCACCATGGCGCGTAGAACTCAACAAAGACAGCCTTGCCCGGATCGTTGACTACGGCGTCAAAGGTGGCATCGGTGAGGACCTTGACGTCGCCGTCGTCGACAGCCGCTGCAGCGTTCCCGTTCCCGCCCGCGCTCGCTCCGCCTGCTCCGCCCTTGGGAAAGGCCTTGTACGCCTCACCCTCCCCGCACTGCTTGTTGGCAAAGCCGCCGCAGATGCGCTTGATGGGGCACCATCCGTAGCCTGCCGCCACGCACGCCTTGCAGTCGGTCCACTGCGAGAAGTCGACCCGTCCGCCGGCCACGGGCGCCGCCAGGGCCGCCACCACTGCTGCCAGCACCACTGCCGCCACCACTACCGCTGAGGGCATTCGCCAATGCCGAGTATGCGCCATGTGTCCAGTCTGCTGGTGTTTTCTTGCGAGAGAAGTGCGCCCTGCCCTGCAACTGCCTGTGGTGGTGTCGGCCGGGTGCAGCCATGGCCAGTCAGTCGGCCTGCTGTTTACGCCCAAGGAGGATGCTGTCTCATCCGGAGCGATAGATACAGAAGCATGAAGTCCGGGGGGCAGTGGCGGCGTCCGCCATTGGCTCAGCGACGACGACGCGCACGGCCAGATCGGCCACGCTTGGGTCGCTCAAGCTTGGCCAGCTCGAGCTCGCGCCGCAGCCGCTTCGCCTCGGGCGATCGAAGGTGGTTGAGCACTCGTCGCCGCTCCGACGCCGCCGACGAGCCGCCGGCAGTCATCGACGCGTGGAGCTCGACGTCGGTGGCCGACATGAAGCCCTGTGGAACAGACTTGAGGTGCGCGATCCGCGAGCCCGGTGAGGTCTTGGTCGGGGAAACGCTGGCGCTCATGCGGCCGCCTCGCGGCGGACTGCCTCGAGGCGGACTGCCACGCCCGCGTCCGCGCCCGCGCCAGCGCCCACGCCCGCGTCCGCGTCCGCGTCCGCGGACAATCGTCACCGGCGCAGTCCGCGAAGAAAATATCGGTTGAGACCGGTGCAGCGACGGCTGCGACGACGAGAGATCCGAGAGGGCGGCGTGCGCACGCGAGTTCGAGGCAATGAGCTCGGTGACAGACTTCAGGAGCAGCTTATTCTGCTCGCGCAGCTCACGCATTTCGCGCTCCATCCGTGCCTCCCAACGTGAATAAGCCGGATCGTTGCCCGGTGGCGTCTCGTCCTGCGCCGCAGCAAGGTTCATCGCAGTCGCCTGCTCGGCAAGCTCCAGGTCCCACTGCAGCGTGTCCGATGTTTTGCCCGAGTCGTCGAGTTGTCGCTCGAGGACCGCAAGCTGGCGGGAGAGTGACGCGATCTGCTTGTCGCGCTCACACAGCTGCGCCCGGAGCTCAACCACTGCCGGTGCATCCGACACCATCGACCGGGTCTCCAGGTCTGCCCGCCTGCGCGAGTTGGTCCGCCGCGGTCCGCGTGCCACGGCGAGCCCGCTAGCCTCTTCGCGATGCTTCGCGTCATTAAGTTGCTGCAACTTGTGCCGCTGCAGTTCGCGAAACTGTGGGCTCGGTGTTGCACCCGCCTCTTGGCCTCTGTCGGCCATGGACACGTCGATGTTGATGGTGGTTGGTGCACCCGACGACGACCGCCGCCGCGCCCTCGACCGCAGGTGGGGAGTCATCTCCGCCCGCTCCCGCGGCCGCTGTGGGCCAGGTGAGACCGGCGGTGGTGAGCCGCCTATGACGAGCTCGTCGCCGCCCTCCTGCTCGCGATCAAGGTCGATGATCTCCACGTATGACGCCTCTTGGCGCGTCGACGTGTCGTACACCTTGGAGCTCGGCGACCGCTCGACCGCGTGCGTGCCACGACGCTCGGCCATGAGCACGGAGAGCTCGTCAACGTCGGCCGACTGCATGGCGTGCTCGGCAAAGATGGCGTCAAGCGTATTGCCCATCGGCGCCTCGGCCGCCGCCGCCGCGTCCCGCGGCGCCTCGTCATCCTCGTACTCGTACTCGTAGCCGTCAAGGGAGTCGAGTTTCACATCCAGATCCAGGCCGTGAACGTCCTCGTGGTGAGCTTCAGGTGGAGTCGAGACGCCGCCCGCTAGTTGTTCGGAGGTGGCTTGCGCCAATCGCGGAAGCGGCGGTGGGAGTGGGAGATTGATCGCAGGCCCGGGCTTGCGGGCATCCCACTCAAGAACTTCGGCCGGCGAGGCGCGGGCAAGCATGTCATACGCTGCACGCGACGACGCGACGTCGAGCGCACCGACTGTCCCAGTTGGCAGCTGAACAGTCACGCTCGGATCAGCACCTTCTTCGATCAGAGTGGCGAGGACCTTGAGCGCATCGCCGCCCCAGTGCGCCTGGTACGCTGCAACCATGAGCGGCGTCCAGCCGCGGGCCGGGTCGGCGGCGACAATGGGAAAGTCCAGCTCGGCGCCCGCAAGTGAGAGGGCAGACACGACGCCCGGTGCGGCGGCAACGACAGCCCAGTCAAGCGGCGCGAGCCCAGCGTCGTCACGGACCTCAGGATCGGCGCCCAGCTCAAGCATGGTGTCGACAACCTGGGCGTGGCCGTGCGCGGCGGCGGCGGCGAGTGGCGTAAGCCCCAGAGGGCCGCGAGCGTCCGGATTCGCCCTCGAGTCCATGAAGAATTTGCACGCGCGGACCGAGCCCGAGCAGGCTGCCAACCAAAGTGGCTCGACAGAGAGTGCCGTGGGTGCGGCTGCCGATCGTGGAGCACCCCACCGCGGCGGGACGTCAAAGACGACACCGTCGGCGGCTGCCGAGTCGGCACCGGCCACGGCAAGGTCGATGACGGCGGCGTCCGCGCCAGCAGCAGCCGCCGCCAGCAGCGGCGTCAACCCGATGTTGTCGCGCAGTCCAAGACCAAGGTCGACGGCCGGAAGATGCTTGACCAGCCATGCCACACCCTGGGCGTAGCCGGCGGCGGCGGCCGTGTGGAGAGGGGTGCGGCCAAGAGCGTTGACGGCGGTTGCTGACGCACCCGACTCGACCAGCACGTCCAACGTGTGTGTCAGCGGTGCCTGCGGTGTGCATCCGAGCCCGCGAGCCGCAAGATGCAACGCTGTATTGCCGCTGCTGTCGGGCGCGTCGATGCCGAAGCGGGCCGAAGCCACAATGGCCTTCCGCAGCTCGGCCTCGGGCAGGTGGCGCTCCGCGGCGCGCCGGAGCTCAAAGCCCGGCAGCGCCCGGTCGCGGGAGCGGCGTTCGGCATGCCCGCGCCACACGCCCTGCAGCGTCGTCGCCGCCGCCCGCTCGCGCTTGGCCTGAACCCGGGCGGCCCGCCCGCGCCACGCGGCCTGCAGCACCGCGGCAGCCTCGTTCTCATCGCCGCCTCCATCGCTCCGCCCGCCGTCGTCGTCGCCGTCGTCGTCGTCGTGCCCGCCAGCCCCATCGTAGTATCCATACTCGTAGTCATACTCGTCGTCGTACCCGTCGTCGTCCTGCTGGTCGTGGCTGGCCGTAGGTGTGGCCGATGGCCGCCGCGAGCCGGGCAGAGCCGGCATGCCTGGCGGGAGTGGGGCGCCCGGCGGCAGGCCATGCGAGGTCCGGCGGGAGGGCCCGGGCAGACCGCCACGAGGAGGAAAGGGAGGGAGGCCAGCCATGCACCACCGTAGCCGAAGAAGGGGATGGGCGCAAAGTGGAGTGGGAAAGGGATGGCTGCGAGTGTGGCCGCACAGACTTGCGCCGAGTCGGTGGCGACGGCAGTGAACGGCAGTGGAAGTTGGGCCCCGCCTGGCACACACGATGCGTGGCCCATGGCAGGCGAAAAGGCGCGATCTGATGAGTACCCCCCCACACACACACACACAAACAGATATGTATATACACGTACGCACACACGCACATCAAACACACACACAAGCAAACGCACATGCGCTCACTCGCTCGATCTGCGCCCATTGCCGCAATCGGTGGCACGAGAAGCCAACTCATCAGGCGGCCAGCTTGCCGAGCCACCCAACCACACGTCGGCCAACTGCCAACCACCCCCCCCCCCACTGCCAGCCATGCAAGCCCCACATGCGAGAATTCCAATTTCCTATCAACCTGTTTTCCGCAAACCCTCGCTCCCCCCCCCCCCTCCCTTCCCGTCCCACCCCTTCCGTGCTGCATACCTCACCCGACCATCTTCTCAAGGTCGGGCGACGGTGTTCATGGCCGGATACGGCACCGCAGGCATGGGTGTGCTGTATGACCCGTTGTGTGCCGCCGTAGCAAGGGGGCCTCGTGCTCGCTCGCCTCGCCCGACACACGCGCCAGACTCGCCGCCTGTTACGGTGGCTGGGCCGTTCAAGCACATGTTGCCGGATGCTGGCCCTGCTGGTAGCAGAAGCGCGGGTGGGAGCAAAAGCGCCGCAGCTGTGCGTGACTCGACGTCGTCCAGCAGATCCCAGGTCTCGGGTGAGCGAAGCGCGATATCTGGCGTGTCTAGAAAGGCAGGGGGAGGGAGGAGGGCATCGCTCGGCAGCAGCAGCAGCAGTAGCGGTGGCAAGGCGAGAGGCAAGGGCAAAGTCAGATTGGCGTCGAAGAAGAAACCAAAGCCAGACAAGGGCAAGAGCCCGTTGTCGCATCGCGGGTCGGAGAAGAGCAGACGTGACGCGACGAGGCCGCGTTGGTCGTTTAATGTGGCCCGGGCGCTGGTGGCGTGTACCACGCCGCAGCTGGAGCCTGTGCGGGCGCACGCGCTCCTTGCCGAAGCCGTGCCGCTTCTTTCGGTCCCGATGTTTGTGTACTCGTCGGCCGAGGCCGCACGCAACGGGCGCAAGTCGCTGCTCGCGCTGTGGGAGTGGTTGCTGACGCCGGCAGGCGAGGCCGTGGCCACAAAGTCTGCCGCGCGGTCCGAATCCATTGGCGAGAACACTCGGTTCACGGCGCTTGCGAGTCTTATGCACCGCGGCGAGTGGTCGCTCAAAACGCTGCAGTTCTCCAAGACGCTGCGGCCCATGGCGTCCAAGATCGACATCGCCCTGGCGGTTCGCTACCGCGACGCACTCGTCGCCACGCTTCGCGTGGCGCTCGACGCGCTGGCAGGCACCTTTGGCACACGGCTGTCGTCGGCCAAGGCCACATTCTGCGCACGAGTCCTTGCTGTCGCCTATTTTTCCGTGCCCGGTGTGTGTGGCCACATTGTGCTCGCCACCGACCCGCCACTGACAGACGCCGGGTCGCCCGAGACGGGCGCATGCAACGCCAACGACGCCAGCGACTCCGAACGCTCGCCGTCGACGCCGCGGTGGGCCGGTGGTGCCGGCGACGACGAGGTCGTCGAAGACGCCGGCGAGGACCATGACAAGGCAAGGTCTCGCATCGAGCGCGAGACAAAAGCCCGCGAGGCCACCCACGCCGAGCTCGCCGACCTCTGTGTCTCGGACAAGATGCTTTCGGCTCAGCTCGGCATCGAGCTGCCGCCAGACCTTGTGGTCTATCCGTACCTCTTTCGCGGCCTCCCGCAGTCGGCCTCGTCCGAGTTTGAGGTCGATCCGGATGCCCGCTGGCTCTCTGTCCTTGCCAAGCGGTGCAAGATGTTCATGCTCTTCATTCGCGAGCTTGTGCTCCACGTCCGACGCGTGTTTCGGCTCTCCAGCGGCGGCGCGCAGTCTGTCGTACCGTGGATGCTTGTGCCTGGTTTCCAGGCTCTCGTTGAGGCGCTCTGCTTTGAGGTCCGTGTCCGCAACGCAGCAAGCGGGCATGACTCGGCGTTTATCGAGGCCACGCAGTTTGTGCTCCTCAATCCATACCTGATCTCGGTCCTTGTCCGCGACCTGCTCTCGAACATCTCGCTGCACGACGTGGAGCAAGTCGGTGCCGGCCTCGATCGGGTTGCGCGATGGCTCGCCTTTGCTGGCCGGGTCCACTCGCGCGCCACGCTGTACAACACTTTTGATCCCTCGTTCCTCATCCAAGTTCTCGACCTGCTCCTGGGCGTCGAACGCTACTCACTCACCGCCAAGGCGCTCGCGTTCATCTCGGACCACGAGACCGTGTTCCAGGGCGAGGCCCGCATTGCACTCATGGGCAACATCCTCCTCCGCAAGTACTTCTTCCATCTCTTTCTACACTGGTCGACTGCCGTCCGCAAGCTCTTCCACGCCGTTGTCATCTACCACGTGGTTCCTATCGATGCCGCCGACGCCGTCGCGGCGTCGGTCCATATCTCCGACAATGCCCCGCACTGGGAAGTGTATCTCTCGTGCGAGACCAATGTCGAGGGTCCCGAGCAGGCCGTAGACCTTGTTCTTGCCTCCAAACTCCACGGCTATCTCACCATGCTCCGCGACGCCGCCGTCCCGCCGCACCTCGCTGTGTACCTGCCCAAGGCGCTCGGCGAGTTTGACGAGGCCTTTATGGCCTACCTGGATTGGCGATCGATGTCACGCAAGGTTGCACCCGACGAACCCGGCCGCGCTCCGCCGGCCATCTCCTTTGATCTCACAGTCCATCTGCCCAGGGACGGCTATCATGCCGCACTCGGCGCCGCAGCTCAAGATGGATAAACACTGTCGTGGCTGCCGCTACGAGCTAGAGTCCGAGTCCGAATCGCCGTAGCCCGCGAGCAACGATACAGGCGCAGGCGTCGGTGCAGGCGCGGGGGCAGCCGCAGACACAGGCGCGGGGGTGGCTTTGGGGTTGAGCTTTGCCCGCTTCACCGCACGCACCACGACGCTGCCTCGCGGCCGCGGTCGCTTGCCCACCGCCGAGCCCCCCACCGCTGTGCGAACGTTAACAGGGTTCGCATCGGGCGTAGCAGCTGGGCCAAGACCGAGGCTGGGCTCACCGGCGTCGCCGACAGGAGGTGAACGGTCGTCGAGGCGGATGACCCGCGCGGCGCGGGCGGCAAAGATCTCGCGCATCCGCTGCTCGTCAGCCTCGTCGAGTGTGTCTGAGGCAGCGGCAGCAGCAAGGGCCTCGGCATCTGCAGCGCGTGCGGCAAGGAGTGCCATGGGGTCAACGTCGTTGAGCTGGGCGTTAATGGCGCGCAGATCCTCCAGTCGCTCGAGGTCTTCCATCTCGCGGCGGGTGTCTGCGGCGCGCTGTTCGAGAGCGGCCATGGGATCGCCGCCGCCGTCGCCATCGCCGCCGCCGTCGGCGTCATCGTCGACCATCTCGCGCAGCGGCTTGACAGCAGTGGCGGCGGTGGCGGCCTCGTGCAGCCGCTTGACGCGGTGCTCGGCGACGTAGCTCGCGGTCTTGGGATCCGTCTTGATGGTAAACTCGGAGGCGCACTCGGGACACTTGCAATAGAACCGGTGGACGGGGACGCCGAGGTAGTCCTCGCCGATCACCGTCTCTTTGCGGGCGATGAACCGCTTGTTAAAGCCGATGAGCGAGCCGCACGCGCCACAGAGCGCCGTAAAGGGCATGGCGAGTCGGACCTTGGTCTGCTTGGGCCGCTTCGCCCCACGCCCGCCCCGTCGGCCCTTGGTCTTCTCGCGCGGCACATTAGCCGGGTCCATCCCCGGCGGAAAGTAGAACGACTGCTCCTTGCGTGAGCCCATGGTGGTGGTGGCGGGTGTGGAGTGACGTGGCGACGGCAGTGGCGGCGGGAGAAGGGAGAGGAAGTGGCTGCGGTGTCGCGCCGAGTCGCCGACGGCAAAAGGCCCAGCTGCCGACAGAAGGGCCGCTGATGCGAGCTGTGATTGCGATGGTGGCAGAGGGCATCATTGGCGGACTGTTACCCACTCGGGGATGGTCAGGAGGTGTGGTGGTGTGGCGGGGGGCGCGGGGCGAGGGGCGGGGAGTGATAGCCCTTGCTGGGCGTTTACATGACTGACCGGATGGGGGGGAGGTGGAGGGATGAGGTGCAGCCCCGACGCGTGATCACTTGTTTTCGCACTCGCCGAAAGCCGTCACACGCACACACACGCGTGCAGAAGCAACGACGGGATGGATCACGGCCAGCAGGGTAGTAGTGCAGCGGTAGAGACGATCGCGGGTAGGGGACCATGCGGCAAACGGCGTGTAGAGTCAGTGCCGTGTTTACGGATCGCTATCTCTCAATACTAGGCCGACAGATGGGTGGCAACAAGCTTGACGCCCGAGACGCCGCCGGCAAGCTGGGCGATGCCGTTGGCAAGATCGGCCCAAGACGAGCCAAGCTCGAGCACGTTCTGCGCCTGGATAGGGATGGCCTGGAGCGCGGAAGCGATGGTATCGTACGCACCGGCAGCCCACTGGCCAAGCTCGGACTCGGGGTTGAACTCGACGACGATGGTGAAGATGTGGGTGACGTTGTCTGGGAAGGTGGCGTCCTCGATGCCCTGGTTGATCGAGGTGATGTAGCTGGGCTGCGACGAGTCAAGCAGCGCCGCGGCCTTGAGCGTTGTGTCGGGCGAGATGGTGTCAAAGGCGAGGGTGAGCGGCTCGCCGTTGAGAGCAGCAGCGACCTGGTCAGCGTAGTCGGCGTCGTGGTAGTCGATGACGGCGGCGGCACCGAGGGCAGTCAGCCGCTCGGTGTGCTTGGCCGATGCAAGGGTGATGACCCGGAAGCCGGCGTAGTTGGCGAGCTGGATGGCGACGTGGCCAACCGACGACGCGCCGCCCCAGATCAGCAGCGGCCGGCCGGCGCCGGAGCCGGGCGCCAGCGCCAGATCCGCACCAAGGCTTGGCAGCTGCTTGAAGAGCGCGACAGCAGCGGTAAAGATGGCGAGCGGAACCGTCGCCGCGTCGGCGTGCGAAAGCGCCTCGGGCTTGGGGAAGACTGTGTACCACGGCGTGTCGACAGCTTCCTGGAACGCGCCGTTGGCATCGGCAATGGGCGTGTACGCGTACACCTCGTCGCCGACCTTGACGTTGGTCACGCCCTCGCCCACCGCCGTCACCTTGCCGGACGCGTCGTTGCCGAGCACCTGCGCCGGCAGCTTGGACAGGAGGAAGTTGTACTGGACCATCTTCCAGTCGACCGGGTTGACAGCCGCAGCGTCGACCGCCACCCGCACATAGCCGGGCGCGGGCGTGCCAGTCGGCGCAGGCACCTGGACCACAGCCACGTTGGCCGCGATGTCGTCGCCGGCTCCCGTGGCGACCACTCCGATCTGGGTTGTCTTGGCGCTCATAATGATGATGTTGTTGCTACTGTTGTTGCGTCTGAGTGTGTGGAGAAATAAAAACCCAATACCGGCAGCTGGAAAAGGCTGCGGTTTTGTCTCTGCAACGTGTTTGGCCATCAGCCGCCACAACCAACTTGACGTCAACAGCACAAAACCAAACACAACGCTCCGCCACATTCCCTTCTTTTTTTTTGGCCAATGCGGGCCATCGAGAAAATAGAACAGGTTCGCTGCTTCAAACTCAACCTGTTGCCACTTCCCCTCTTCCCCATGCCCTCCTACTGTTGGCTGGTGGCGAAAGAAACCAAAGTGGCCGGGAGGAGGAGGGGGGGGGGGGGGAGGAAGGGGGAGCCACAGCACATACACACGCACACATACACACACTTCACGTTACTTGTACCCCCCTCCCCGGA